AAGGCAAATGAGTGTATTTTTAGTCAATTTTGAGAAACTTTTATTTTCAGAGATTTGTTCAGGAACTTACTGGTATAGTATTTTACTGTGATTAAAAGTTGGTGTGCACAAAAAGTATATTTTTTCTGAATTTTAACCACAAAAACGGCCATAGCTAAGTATTTTATGGCAAATGAGTGTATTTTTAGTCATTTTTGAGAAACTTATTTTTGGAGGTTTGTTCAGGAACGTATTAGTATAGTTTTTTTTCTGAATTTTAAGCACAAAACCACAAACCATCGCATGCATGTCCACAAAAATGCATGCATACATAGATACATGCATGCATACATACATACTAACCAACCCACCCACCCACCCACAAGCACACACACTCACATACTGTTAACTGTCTGTGTCAGCATCTTCATTTGGGCTGTGGTGCATGAGAGGCGTCATGCTCAACACGTGACCGGACTACACCAATGGGGTAGCAGCTTTTGGTAAACCGAAGAAGAGGAAAACTCACCAAAATAGTAAAAAAAAAAAACTCTTCAGGGCATAACCAGTGCTACAGTATACGCACATAGCCTTTGTGATGCACAAAAAGATTCAGGATGGCCATCCCATCAACATCGAGCAGGACGACACCGAGTTAGACAAAGCTCTGACCCCATCCTTCGGGCCACATGCATAATGTACAAAAAAAAGGACAAATACGTAATGCAGACCTTACAGGAGTGGGCAAAGACCTCAGCTTGTACATAACACATCGGGATCAATGTCACTGTGTGACTGTAATGCAGGGTGTATCTGTTCATCTGTTAAAGACCTGCAGTGTGATCATGAAGAATGCACAGGATCACACAACTGTCATCATTAAGAGCCCTGACACTGATGTGGCAGTCATTGCTGTAAGTCTGCAGACAAATTTACCTTTGAAATAAAATGTATATTATTATTATTATCATACCCTGATTATATTATTTCACAGGGACAGGCAACAGGACACGCATCATTGACATTACCAAGGTGTCATCAGATCTTGGAACCAGTGTGTGTTCAGCCTTAATTGTCATACATACACTCTCTGGGTGTGGAACAGAAGTGAATGCTCAACTAGCTAATAGAATGCTGTGCATGATCTCTTCCAGGTAAACAAAGCCATTATTAAAGCTAACAACTCATATGTATAATTATTTTATGCCTTTTGGTTTATTTTTTGCTAGATTTTTACTGTTTAATTGTTTTAGGTTAGAAAATATTTTGTATCATGAAAATAATGAAAATGGAAATTTAAAAAAAAAATCCTGCAAAAAAAAACACAATAAAGCAAAACTTCCGTGGAATGGATTAAAAAAAATCTGCGATGTACTGATGAAGCAAAATGAGAACCACGATATAGAGAGGGACCACTGTACATAAAATGATACATTTGGTCTGAGACCAGCAGAAGAAATTTGTGATTTTTGTAATGGATACTGTACTGGTAGATGAAACAGTTCTAATGAAGAAAACAATATATTTGCTCATCAAAAACATTTCAACAGTTTAAATTGCAGTTAGAGTACACATATGTATATATACAGGCAAGACTCAACCTAGTTTTTATTATATTTTGCTTCTCATCCCCATTTCCATCAATGTGGTTCGCACCGGTTGTTGGCTATGAAGACAGCAGCGTGTGTTGGCAACAACCAGCCACGTCAACATTTCGGTGGTATTCAGTATTTTACATGTTTTGACAAACCCTGTGATTGGCTGCAAAGTCATGATCCTCTAATTAATAAACATCCAAAGTCTCTCCACTTACTGAGCCACAATCACTTTGACATTCAAAGGTTAACTCACCATGTTCAATGATGGTAGGCCAGTGGTGCCCATCCACCAGGCTGCAGACCAGTACTGGGCTGTGAACATCTCAACACTTGCCATAGAACACCAACGGAGGACGTGGAGCAGTTTGATGTGGACTGTGTGTGTGCTGCTAAATCCGTAATAAAAAATAGAAGTCAAGGCTGGTGACAAGAAATCAAGCTACAAAGTTAGACAAATCACTCAATATATATTAAAAAAATCTCAGTGACTGCAATTTTAACATTTGTCCACAGGGGGCAGATTAGGACCAAAATAGATAACTCAAAGTCCACTTAAAACTTCCTACAAATTCAAAACAAGTCACTTCATACATATCAAAACTTTTAGAGACTGCAATTTTAACATCTGTCCACAGGAGGGCAGCAGTATTTGACCACAATAGAGAACTTTAAGTCCAGTTATATTTTTGAATTTCCCTACTGTGGGTCAAATAAATGACTTATCTTAGAAATAAAGTTTTACAACACAGTGGAAACATTTTAAATTTCAACTTGCTACAAACAAAACAGAAGTTAACACAACACTGTTTTCATTTCATCTCAACACATGTGACTACTTTAAATCTAAGCTGTTAGAAATAAGATCCAAGTGATCAAAATCTAAGCTGTTAGAAATAAGATCCATGGTAGAATATGTGGTTTGGTTAAATGTTCTGTTAACTAAATCTCACAGGCCTCAGATCGTCCTTTTACATCTACAACAGCTGACGTGACCAACACCGAGGTCAGTGTCTGGGCTTTTAGCCTGATGAAAAACAGGTTAACATTTAGTCTTTTTTTAATTCCTCAGACTGAAGAGTTACAGAATAAGGGGAAAAAAGAAACTGCAATCATGTAACATTTAATGTAGTTTATTTTGAAAATTTCAAATTCAAGTGCAACTAAAAAGGAATGGAGGTTCTTGGGAAAAAAAGGACATGTTTCTTGTGAACAGTCTTTGATGTTGTCACTGATGAAATAACTACAAAGCATTGGATCAGAACCAAATCTTTATAGTGTTCTAAAGGACTTTACAATGACTGAAGCTGATGGTGTACCATGGATGGACCAGATCCCAAAATCAGATGGATCCAGGTCTGATTTTGGAAACGGTGTCCATAGTGCAACAGCCAGTAAGAATTCATGACAGACAGTATTGTAGTTAACAGTGTGACGCAAACTACGCTCATTAAACTGTAACTAAACTGACTAAACTAAAGGGAAATAAATCTGGGCTCAAGTGTCCAGTTTAATTCATCAGTGACCAAAGACTAAATCTTTGAATATCCAAGATGTGTTAACAAGTCACCTTACAAGAAAAATAAATAAATCCATGTACCGTCAAACAAGGATTGGAGAACTGTTGACAAATCATACAGGTCCCTCATCATCTTAATTTATCTTTGGCCACAGAGAAAAATAGTCATTTTCAGTTTCAGTTTCACCAGGTCTCAGAACAAACATCAATACCAGGGCTCCACATCAGTCCCTTCATCTTCTACTATTCAGCCCACAGAACTTGTCAACACATTTGTTTAAGGAAGCTGTAAATATGAAGTTAATCTTTACCTTTACTTTTGGGTTGTCTCTCTGCCAAGTTCATTTTCTACTAAAGAACCTAAACGCGCAATCTAATCTGTACTCCCCCCAGATTACAGCAGCTGTTTATAAAGTTGACTACTTAGCCCTGTATGTATCTAATAAAACGAGTCACTTTGCAGAGGACACTAGTCCCCTGCTGGGAGGCCTCCCAACACGTCGTCTAAATACCACAGACGGGCAGACAAGTCTTAAGTAGAAAATGGACTGGGCAGAGGAGACAAGCCAGAGCTAGAAGTCCAGACCGTTGAATGACAAAGGCAATTTAAGGCCAAATGGTGACAGTTGGACAGAAATGGAGTTTAAATTTGACATGTTTAACATTTGGAAACAACATCTATGAGCTGAACGGTCATTTAATTCAACAACTGACAACTTCATCACAGCACAGTCACTAAATATTAATCGAAAACTAAGTCATAACATGTGACAATGTAAAAGAAATCCATCTGCAGCTAAACTCCTGTCAGCTGTGGTGGGTCTGGGTCGTTGGGAGGCAGGACCTGAACATGAAGGAGTCAGGTTAGTTTTCTACACCACAACAAACTGGAATTATATATATAAGGAATTATAATTCAGTACAAACCTTAAGACACCCAGTAGGAAGGAGGCAGGTCTGGAACAGAGGACACAGAACATCATTGAGGACTTGCTCACATTTAGCCCACTTCAGCTCTCTGGGTTGGTACAGATGGTGTTTAGACGTTGTTCTGCTGTGTGAACAAGATGTCCAGAACCCACAAACACCATTGGCCGGGACTGTGTGTGTGCTGCTAAATCCGTAATAAAAAATAGAAGTCAAGGCTGGTGACAAGAAATCAAGCTACAAAGTTAGACAAATCACTCAATATACAGTATATTAAAAAAATCTCAGTGACTGCAATTTTAACATTTGTCCACAGGGGGCAGATTAGGACCAAAATAGATAACTCAAAGTCCACTTAAAACTTCCTACAAATTCAAAACAAGTCACTTCATACATATCAAAACTTTTAGAGACTGCAATTTTAACATCTGTCCACAGGAGGGCAGCAGTATTTGACCACAATAGAGAACTTTAAGTCCAGTTATATTTTTGAATTTCCCTACTGTGGGTCAAATAAATGACTTATCTTAGAAATAAAGTTTTACAACACAGTGGAAACATTTTAAATTTCAACTTGCTACAAACAAAACAGAAGTTAACACAACACTGTTTTCATTTCATCTCAACACATGTGACTACTTTAAATCTAAGCTGTTAGAAATAAGATCCATGGTAGAATATGTGGTTTGGTTAAATGTTCTGTTATCTAAATCTCACAGGCCTCAGATCGTCCTTTTACATCTACAACAGCTGACGTGACCAACACCGAGGTCAGTGTCTGGGCTTTTAGCCTGATGAAAAACAGGTTAACATTTAGTCTTTTTTTAATTCCTCAGACTGAAGAGTTACAGAATAAGGGGAAAAAAGAAACTGCAATCATGTAACATTTAATGTAGTTTATTTTGAAAATTTCAAATTCAAGTGCAACTAAAAAGGAATGGAGGTTCTTGGGAAAAAAAGGACATGTTTCTTGTGAACAGTCTTTGATGTTGTCACTGATGAAATAACTACAAAGCATTGGATCAGAACCAAATCTTTATAGTGTTCTAAAGGACTTTACAATGACTGAAGCTGATGGTGTACCATGGATGGACCAGATCCCAAAATCAGATGGATCCAGGTCTGATTTTGGAAACGGTGTCCATAGTGCAACAGCCAGTAAGAATTCATGACAGACAGTATTGTAGTTAACAGTGTGACGCAAACTACGCTCATTAAACTGTAACTAAACTGACTAAACTAAAGGGAAATAAATCTGGGCTCAAGTGTCCAGTTTAATTCATCAGTGACCAAAGACTAAATCTTTGAATATCCAAGATGTGTTAACAAGTCACCTTACAAGAAAAATAAATAAATCCATGTACCGTCAAACAAGGATTGGAGAACTGTTGACAAATCATACAGGTCCCTCATCATCTTAATTTATCTTTGGCCACAGAGAAAAATAGTCATTTTCAGTTTCAGTTTCACCAGGTCTCAGAACAAACATCAATACCAGGGCTCCACATCAGTCCCTTCATCTTCTACTATTCAGCCCACAGAACTTGTCAACACATTTGTTTAAGGAAGCTGTAAATATGAAGTTAATCTTTACCTTTACTTTTGGGTTGTCTCTCTGCCAAGTTCATTTTCTACTAAAGAACCTAAACGCGCAATCTAATCTGTACTCCCCCCAGATTACAGCAGCTGTTTATAAAGTTGACTACTTAGCCCTGTATGTATCTAATAAAACGAGTCACTTTGCAGAGGACACTAGTCCCCTGCTGGGAGGCCTCCCAACACGTCGTCTAAATACCACAGACGGGCAGACAAGTCTTAAGTAGAAAATGGACTGGGCAGAGGAGACAAGCCAGAGCTAGAAGTCCAGACCGTTGAATGACAAAGGCAATTTAAGGCCAAATGGTGACAGTTGGACAGAAATGGAGTTTAAATTTGACATGTTTAACATTTGGAAACAACATCTATGAGCTGAACGGTCATTTAATTCAACAACTGACAACTTCATCACAGCACAGTCACTAAATATTAATCGAAAACTAAGTCATAACATGTGACAATGTAAAAGAAATCCATCTGCAGCTAAACTCCTGTCAGCTGTGGTGGGTCTGGGTCGTTGGGAGGCAGGACCTGAACATGAAGGAGTCAGGTTAGTTTTCTACACCACAACAAACTGACCACAGCAGGAAACCCACAAACACCATTGGCCGGAGCTGTGTCATTCAAGGTGAACTCTGCAGCAGCAGCACAAATCTTCTCCAATGACAGGGTGGACTCCTACACTGGGTTAAAGACCCTGACACAAAACAAAGTAGAAACTGAGTTACAGTGACAAAGAGACTGGACAGAAAAAGACAACATGAAGAAAACCTTTGAATAAAACCGTGAATTTGGATTTTTAAAAATATCTCAGAAAAGACAAGAACACGTCAACAACATTCGGTCACATGGTAGTGGAATTTTGTCAAAAAAACAAACAAAAAGTCAATCCTTCTGTTCACCTCAGGTCCCTTTAACCAGGATCACACTTCTCCAGATTTGGTGAACTCTGGTCCATAGAATCCTAGACACAGACCAGATCAATCAGTGAGCAGATTAAAGTCAACAGATCAACAGTCAATGTGAAGCACTAACCTGAAGACATCCGGTGGCTGAGAAGATCTTTCCACCAAGGAGTTGGTCCACATTCACCCTACAGCCCAGAGGGCCAGATCTCCACAGCTGTCTGGGACATGCAATACTGAGGAGTCCATCTTACCTGTTAAACTGACTGATCTTACCATGTTCAGTCAGTCATAACAGCTTGGGTAAGGCCTACACCACCAATAGTTTCACACAGTTAACCCAGATTAAACACCAGTAGATTAATTTAACACAAGTGAGCAACATCTCCCAGGTGAACTGTCAATCACTCCAGCCCCAAACTGATGAATGATCTCAGTTGACTTTGTTCTGTAGCGGGAAACTTGGCTCATTCCATCCACACATGACCAGTCTATTAGATTAAATTACACTGAGCCTTACTGATCCCACACTGGGGAAAATGCAGTACACACAACTGTACTTTCAGCTGAAATTATCAAAATACTTTGATCACAACTTGTAGTTTAAGAACCTGAACCCATTTGAATGAATGGGGATCAGAACCTTACACGGAGTCCGAATCAGTACCCAGTACTCTAACAACTAATTTTCCAGCAGCAGTGATGGAGTTCAAAGGCCGTTCTCACAACTGACTTTAGGACCGAGGGACAACTGACCTGAGTCAGAACCAGGACAGAGATCTGCTCCACCTGACCACCACCTCTTCATCACCATGATTTCCCTGAGTTGACCTGGAAGACTATTGACAGGAAACATTGGACAAGCCATTGTTTCAAACAGTTACGAAGTGGCCCACTTTAGCCCAGAAGACCACTGTTGTGGTGGTAACATGGGAGAGTTTACTACTAAATCTGTTCCTCAACTAAACTGTTGACAAATTATACAAGTCCACCATCAGCTTGATTTACCTTTCTAAACTTTCCAAAATAAAGAGTTAAAAACTGCACCACAGAATTAAAATATTTTTCAGTTTCACCAAGTTTCGGAACAAACTGCAACCTTCAACAACTGGTTGGCATCAGTACCAGGGCTCTACATCAGTCCCTTCAGCTTCTACTATTCAGCCCACAGAACTTCTCAACACATTTATTTAAGGAAGTTGTAAATATGAAGTTAATCTTTACCAAGTCTTGGTCTGTCTCTCTGCCAAGTTCATGTCCTATTAAAGAATCTAAACGCGCAATCTAACCTGTACTCCCCCCAAATTACACCAGCTGTTTATAAAGTTGACTACTTAGCCCTGTATGTATCTAATAAAACGAGTCACTTTGCAGAGGACACTAGTCCCCTGCTGGGAGGCCTCCCAACACGTCGTCTAAATACCACAGATGGGCAGCCAAGCCTTTAGTAGAAAATGGACTGGGCAGAGGAGACAAACCAGAGCTAGAAGTCCAGACTGTTGAATGAGATTAAATGCAATTTAAGGCCAAATGGTGACAGTTGGACAGAAATGGAGTTTAAATTTGACATGTTTAACATTTGGAAACAACATCTGAGCTGAACGGTCATTTAAATCAACAACTGACAACTTCATCACAGCATAGTCACTAAATATTCATCGAAGACTAAGTCATATCTTCAAACACCTCATAAACAGGGTGAAGATCAGTGGCCAGTACATTGACAACTACAGTAACATACTGACAGGGGCTCTGCCTATCTGTGAGTGACTGACTGACCAACTCTGACCACCCCAGAAACGATGTAAAAAAAATCCATCTGCAGCTGAACTCCTGTCAGCTGTGGTGGGTGTGGGTTGTTGGGAGACAGGACCTGAAAATGAAGGAGTCAGGTTAGTTTTCTACACCACAACAAACTGGAATTATATATATAAGGAATTATAATTCAGTACAAACCTTAAGACACCCAGTAGGAAGGAGGCAGGTCTGGAACAGAGGACACAGAACATCATTGAGGACTTGCTCACATTTAGCCCACTTCAGCTCTCTGGGTTGGTACAGATGGTGTTTAGACGTTGTTCTGCTGTGTGAACAAGATGTCCAGAACCCACAAACACCATTGGCCGGAGCTGTGTCATTCAAGGTGAACTCTGCAGCACAAATCTTCTCCAATGACAGGGTGGACTCCTACACTGGGTTAAAGACCCTGACACAAAACAAAGTAGAAACTGAGTTACAGTGACAAAGAGACTGGACAGAACAAGACAACATGAAGAAAACCGTGGATTTGGATTTTTAAAAATATCTCAGAAAAGACAAGAAGACGTCAACATTTGGTCACATGGTAGTGGAATTTTGTCCAAAACAAACAAACAAACAAACAAAAAAAAAAAAAACTTAAAGTCAATCCTTCTGTTCACCTCAGGTCCCTTTAACCAGGATCACACTTCTCCAGATTTGGTGAACTCTGGTCCATAGAATCCTAGACACAGACCAGATCAATCAGTGAGCGGATTAAAGTCAACAGATCAACAGTCAATGTGAAGCACTAACCTGAAGACATCCGGTGGCTGAGAAGATCTTTCCACCAAGAAGTTGGTCCACATTCACCCTACAGCCCAGAGGGCCAGATCTCCACAGCTGGTATGGTTCAGCACCAACACGTCTGGGACATGCAATACTAAGGAGTCCATCTTACCTGTTAAACTGACTGATCTTACCATGTTCAGTCAGTCATAACGGCTTGGGTGAAGCCTACACCACCAATACTTTCACACAGTTAACCCAGATTAAACACCAGTAGATTAATTTAACACAAGTGAGCAACATCTCCCAGGTGAACTGTCAATCACTCCAGCCCCAAGCTATACAGGAGTGCCATTCTCTGTCACCATCTTCCCATCTGGATGTAGCCTTTTGATCACATGCAAACAATGAAGACCAGAGGTGGACATGTGCATACAGACCAATGGCACAGACAGTGTGTGTATGTAGGTGTGTTATACAAACCAGTCACAGATCAGGACTTAAGTCCAGGTAAGTTTGTCTAACAATAGTCTTTGCATAAAACATCCTACAATAAATAGTTCAGTTTAAGACAAAAGCTGGACTCCTGTGAGCTAGCTGCTTCAAGATAGAGATAATGTAATTATTTTTTTTTTAAAAAGTATACATTGACCAAAAGTACAAAGGCAGATTACATATACAGTACAATTAACAAGTACAAAGGCAAGTTACATGTACAGTACAACTGACAAGTACAAGTTACATATACAGTACAAAGGCAAGTTACATGTATAGTACAATGACAAAAGTACAAAGGTGAGTAAAGTTACATGTACAGTACATTAACAAAAGTACAAAGGCAAGTACCATTTACATGACTTTTGGAGTGCTGGACATCGATGTCCCATCTATCCATCCATGGAGCTGGAATTCACATAGTCACTCTGGCCAGCTTGGAAATGACAGCAACCGAAACATCCCAAATTGTGAAACAGGACCAGGACATCCAAGATGGCGGACCAGGACATCCAAGATGGCGGACCAGGAGATCCAAAATGGCGGACCAGGAGATCCAAGATTAACGCAATGGTTGAAGTTGTAGAAAATGGTCGCAACGTTCAAAATTGCAGGCGGATCGCAAACGGACCGTCAAAATTGTACAATGTCTCAGTTACATATGTTGCTGAGAGATTAGGCCACACTGGGAAATAAAGGACAGACAGGTAATCATGGCAGCCAAGAGGAGGCACCACAGAGGCATTGAGCAGCAGCCATTTGTCAAAGCAGCTAAAATGAGAAATCCTCTCAGTTCAAACTAAAGTAACTTCATCTTCAGAGGTGGGAAACAAGCTGTCAGTCTGACCCTAGTTCAACATCTGGTCCCATACACATACACACACACACAGAGATTTGAAAGAATACACTAGAGAAATTCTAGATACTCAGTATGGTTTACAACATTCTAGTTTTACATATTTTAGGCTGAACAGTGGCCATTACTGTCTATTTAACATTGACCGACAACTAGCCATTTTAAGACGCAAAATTTTGAACAAAAAAAAAAACAGACAGCATAGAACTATATAGATCAGCACGGCGGCTGGAAAAAGATCATGGCAAGAGGCCATATTAGGGCGTAATATCAGCACGGCGGCTGGGAAAGAACAGACTTAGTGTCACTTACCTGGTGTGTTACATTTTAAACGCGCAACTAAACGCAATTTAGTTTTAATTTCCGTTTCCTCAGCTCCAGAAATAGCTGAAAAGAAAAAGGTTATGGCATGGCAGCCAGGCAAACCCAGCCCCACACCCCAGCAGAAACTAAATGGTACACACCTGTCTGGATGTTCATCTGCATCCTTGAAGACGCCATGAGGCGTTTTTTTTTCTTAAACTTCTTAAATTTATCTAAATTAGTTCAAATGTATTAGTTGTACCATTATACGCCACATTGTTCAGCCATATCTCAATGATTAAATTAAACAATAACACCAATTATGTATAATTAATAATAAGCATTCTTTATTCTAAAATTCTAAGGACAGGACAGGCGGAGGCTGACAGGAGGGCCACCGGGAGAGGAAGAAAAAAAGGTTTTGGACTCACCCTTTGACGACAGCACCTAGAAAGTAATGATTGTTAGTGCAGACATAGAGACAGAACATCATTCACACCCAATGACTACGAACTGCTGAGCTCAAAACCACTGCAGTCACACACAGACTTCAAGCCCTCATCACAGTCAGTCAACCAACTACAAATACTGAACCACCACGGTCAGAAATCAGACCCAGAGCCAACAGTTACCCTACTTGCTCAGCAGTTCATCGACAGCATTAACAAGGGACCAGAGTCACAACAACAACAACAACAACAACGTCGAGCAGGGAGCCGTCCACAGAAAGGGCTTCACTGACTGGCTCCCCGTCCTGCTGCTCGTGCCTCTCGAACCAAAACCCAGGAAACAGAAAGGAAACAAACCAAAGTCCAAGACTGGTGGCCATTTACTGTTTGGACGGTTTGTACTGCCGTGTTTGACACACTCAAACACACACACACACGGAGCCTAGCACAGCAGCGGCACAGCGACCGCACAGAATAGAGAAAAACGACGCTCCTTACTGTGTTGAAGATCTTCGCGATGAGAGTCTGGGAAATAAAGTCGGAGAAGAGTCACGTTAAGTACTGAACATTTGGGCGGGAGCACAGCAAGTTTCAAAATAATAACAATTATTAAATATAAATCCCGAGTTTGACTCCACAGGCCCCTCACCTTGTCTTCCGGTTTCAGGAGAGGACTTTAACGCTGGACAACTTCGGCCTGGTCTCCGTGCGCAGAAATCTCAGCGTATCTGTTCATTTCAAACAATGTCAACAGTTTCTTTTAGAAATTCCCCAAAGAAGACGCTGAAGCTACACTAAATGATTAAATACGGTTCAATGATAAAACTACTTCCCCAAGAACGCATTCTAACGTGGGGCATACATTTTTAGTTTTGGTAAAACAAACGTTTTTCTTCTTGTGTGAAGACTAGGCTATTTAGCTAAAACGAACACACTGAGTCGAAAAGCCAACGGCGGTGAATATAAGTCCAACAGTCACCTACCTTTCATCTGGACCAGGTCGAGCCGCCATCATGGAATAACCTCGTGCACCTGTGCTTTTCAAAGCCCTCGGCAAACTTTTTCGGCGTCTGACGTCACGTGTGACAGCAGTGACGTTGGTGCAGGTGGAGTTAGAGGGGGAGGAGGAAGAGAAAAAGAAATCATAAAAACTCATTCAATAATAATCAATAAAATAACCAAGTGGATGAATTAAATGACGCCGCCCGCCCCGCACACAACAGCAAAAAAATAAAATAAAAAATAAATAAAAATAAAAATAAACCAAATGTTATCTACGAGTTAAGTAGTCAAACAGTAATTTGGACAATATATATATATATATATATATATACAGTATATATAATGATATAAAAAACTGAGGTTACCCCAGACTTTTATCAAATAAAAACGTTAGTGGTTCAATTAAAAAAACAAAACAAATTACATAAGCATGAATGACAGAATCGTTTATTTAACTGTAAATGCTGTGTTTACTTCATGTCATTTATAAAATATATTCAAATTGTAGAGATAAACTGCTATTTAATAAGTTGTTTGAAAACGTGTTTTTTCTAAAATTATTATTTTACTTTTCATTTATTTGAAACGTTTTGATGAACATACCTCCGAAGACTAAGTTCTTCTTGCATTACTTCATTTATTTATTTCATTTTTATTTTTGCAGTGAGAAAAGTCACACTTCTTTTATTTGGTATTGTTTTATCGTCTCGCCCTGGTTTGTATCTGGACCCTAGAGAGCAGTGTCAAGATTTCTGAGGAACAGGTTTGTGACTTTTGTTGTATTTTTATGGAAACAAACAAAGTTTATATTTTTCTGTCTTTAAGAACCACGCATGTGGCTGATATTAAAAAAAATGAAAGTATTAAATAGAGTAATATACAACTTACAGTTATATCTACATGTATACATAAAATCAACGTCATCGAACGACGCCTGATGAGTAATGACCCGAAGAGGCCTGTGTGGAAACCAGCTGAAATTCCACAGGGAGGAGCAGTGGTTATGCTTGGTCAGCCTTTACCACGGTAGTTATCTTGCAAAATGTACTCAAGGAACTTCAAATATTTACTGTGTAAATAAATATACAGTACAGTGTGTTACACCAAGATGCATTTTTATTGCAGCAAATATTGTGTACAATTTGAGATCTTTGTGATTGGTAAAGGAGTTTTTTTCCTTGCACCAGCCATATCTCCTGGTACCTGAACTACAGTTTTATTAATTTCTTTACACAACAGAACATCTTCCTCCTCTCAACAATCTCACAAAATACAAATTGGTTGTAAACATAAGGCACCAAAAGCCTGACAGTCAGAGCCAAACACGAAGAAAGTGAGAAGAACAACTTGAAGATGACGACCACACAGGACAGAGAGAGAAAACTAACTGTATTTAGCTGTAGGTATACACAAGCAGCTGTTTCTTTACTACAGTCGCTGCAGCTTTACAGCAGTAGTCTCAGCTGGGCAGCAGTCATTGTAGTTTTACAGCAGTAGATAGAGGATTTTATCTGTCAATCTACAGACAGTTGTCATGAAAGCTTAATACATTTTGTACATACATGTTGGCTTTTTTTATTTAACAGGTAGAGATTTCATCTTTTGCTAAGTTGGTTGCTGCATATTTCAATGTTTTTCTTTGCTCATTGTATCTGTGCTTCTTCTTAGACCAAGTGTCCAATTACAGAACCACATGCCACCCTTTTCTTTCTGTCCTTATAGTATTTGCAGATTAGCATTTACTTTTTAACAAAAGTGCATAGTTGATATTTTCAAAAGAAAACAGACAGAGCTTATGAACTCATTAAGGGATTTAAAAAAGTTCTGGGCATAAACTATAAAAGGGAGCTGGCACACAAAGACTGAAAACCTTGAACATCAGCTTTAAGATTGAATAATATCATATTTTCTCTTGGCATTTCATCTTTGGCTAAGTTTTTTTTTTTTCATAGTTACATTATGTAAACCCCAAACTTACAAAAATAATTCCAATAAAGAGGGAACATTCAGTACTTGGCCCATGATGACCAAAAAAGAAAAATCAAAAAATGCTTAAAGCATGGGAGGATGTCTGATTAATTCTAATTGCAACAGAAATAGTGCAAAATAATAATAATAAAAAAAAAACTTTCTCATACTGTAGGTCATAGGCCTTCTCACCATCCCTGCCCCCTATGTTGAGAGGTACCAAACTGTCCTTGGTTAAAACCCTCACCTCCCTGCCTTCTCCTGTAACTTCTCCTCCCTCTATCAAAGACCAGGCCCCTCTGTCCATCATAGACCCTGTTTCTACCCCTCCCTCCCCCAGGGCCCCGCCTGTGTCCTCTAGGGTTCTGATATGGCATTGTAAAGGGTTGCGTCCCCTCCCTGTCATCCTCAGTGCTACAGGCAACAGACGAGACGGGACTATTGACGGGTGAAGTGTGGGTTGCGTCTGTGACGTAGTTTTTGTTAGCATTAAAGTGTTGCTGATGAAAGCCATGGATGTCATCAGAGACAGAAGTCATGGAAACGCTGTAGGATTGTTGAGGGACGGGGCCTGGAGCCATGGGAATGGAACCGTCAGAGTTTGTGAAGACAGCCTGCTAAAAAAAAGAGAGAAATGGGTCACTGAATTGTGTTAATGTATAGAATGACCACAGTGAAACTCTGATTTTGTCTGACACAGGAGTTTCTGGTCCACTGCTGCCTCCTGTGGTCAGTGTAGGTGGTAGTGATGGAGGCAGCAGAAGATCAACAACTCCTGTGTCTCTGTGACAAAGAAAAAAAATCACTGATTCAGTATATACTTTGCATGTACTTGCATGTTTCTAAACAGTTGGGCCACTCTCAGCCCGTCAGCACTCTTAGTGCTAGTACATACCAGAGGCTTGTTGTTTGGCAAAGTGTCAACCAAGATCCCCTTCCTGGTTAGATTCTCTTCCAGTGCTATATTTGGTACTAAAAGAAAAATAGAAACTCTTCAGCACCCCCTGGAGGCCACATTACATTGTAGTAAAGAAAAACTATAGGAACAAAAGTATGTGTTTCCAAACTACCTCCAACAGGAAGTGTCATGGCTCTGACAGATGTGAGAGTGGCGTCTCCATTGGTGGCGCTGTTACCCTGCTGTTTCCCTCCCTTGCTTCGATGAACGGACTCTGGTGTAGAAAATGATGTTTCAGACTGGAAGTCCAGTGAAGGAGGTGGATACAAAGGCCGTCCCAAGGGTGCCCTAGCCTTCACACCTGTTGGGAACTCCTGACCAGGAGGTGGGTAAGGCGGTGTGGAGGGATACATTAGGGGACTGACAGCATTAGTAGATGGTGCCATCGGCTGACGCTGCCATGAAGGTGGGTGGGCAGAGGACAGTCTGTGGGGTGTATATTGGGTGACCAGGTATGCAGCCTGGTTCATGGGGAGGTCACGGGGATAGGGGGCTTCAATTGGTGGAGGCTGGTGGCTGAAGGCTGATATGGCAGGATTTAGAAACGGAAGTGACTCCTGCTGACAGGAGGGGGCGTTGAAGCGGGGGCAGTGAGGTGCAGGAGAGGTGGAGTGAGCAGCAGAGCTGTGTTCGATGGAGTGAGCATGTTGGAGTGGCACAAGGTAAACGCTGGGAGGACACCAATGCATGGAGAAGGCCTGAGGAGTACAGATGAAACAAAAAATACAATAATCAATTAGCATAAACATTGCTATGCGATACATAAGCTAGAAAATAGTTGGACACCTTGACTCCCAGGTTGAAGAAAAACCTCATGATGTTGACATCTGCAAAATAAAAAAGATTAAAGAAACTGTCAGGCTGTGATTTCATGTGTTCATATAGATGTTTGTTTGGACCTTTCACCTTGGGGCAGATCTTTCCCCATCTTGCAGTAGGAGTATTCTGGTGACAGGACCACATCCCCCTTTTGGTTCCGTGGGAAACCAGGGTACAGGAGATCCAGATGAAGCTGCGACATGTTCTGAGGAGAATCAGTTTGTGGGAAGGAAGAAAGGTGTGAGGGGAGGAGGTAAGGTCGGTGAGGACGAGGCAGGGAGAAGGTCTCAGGGGAGTCAGTCAGTACAGACTGGGCCTGAACACACTGGGTCTGAGTCGTAGAGTTAGTGACACAGGGAAAAGGCTGAGGGATACTGGAAATGGAAGAAGACCCATGAAGGACCTGGACTGTGTCAGACTGGGAGAAGGACTGGGTCTGAGAATGGATGTTGGAGGGAGGAACCGGGGTTGGACTCTGGTTCTGAATTGAGGACTGGACTTGTTTTTCCTCATGACTTTGAGGCTGCAACATCTGACTCTGCACTTGTATGTTTGGTGATTGACACCGTTTGTTGACCAGCTCTCCCTGGGTCTGGACCTGGAACCCAGAGACAGGAACTTGTTTTTGGGTCAGACATTGGGTCAACAAGTCTCCAGAGTTTGGTAAAAAATCTGAAACAACAACAAAAAAGAAGTACATCTGAGTTTCTGTTGAAGTAAAATGTCTCTCTATTAGACGTCCATAATTTCTAACATGAAACAAAAGAGATTTAGTTTGCTGTGAGCTAAAATCATCATTTCATTTATTCACTTGTATGATGGTGTGTATGTACATAATGTATAAGATCAAATGTGGGAATTCTAAACTTTCTTACCGTGAGCAGGAGCCTGTGCAAGCGGAGGAGCAGGAGGTGAAGAGGAGGAGTAAGGTAAAGAAGGACTGGGAGTGGAGTGGTGGAGAGAATCTCGGTGGAAGGAGGATGGAGGCAGAAAAACTGCAGCTGTGACAGGAGAGGGGGCGATAGGGGCAATGAAGGTTGGAGCAGAGGAGGACGGAAGGAGTGAAGGAGAAGCAGAAGAAGGAGCAGCAGTGGAAGTTTTATAAGGTAGCAAGGAGGGGGAAGAGGAGAAGGGCAGTTGAGTGGGAGGTAAAGATGATGCCGTGGGGAGAATCGGGGTGAGAAAGGAGAAAACTGAGTTGGAGTTTGAAGTAGCAGCAGTAGCAGGAGGAGGAGGAGATGGAGGTACAGCAGGTGCAACAGGAGATGAAGTGTTTGGTTTAACAGCTTGGGCATCTCTGATGGGTGTGGTGTCAGTGTTGGAGTTTGGAGAGGGAACTCTGATGGAACTCTGCCGGTCAGGGGTGGAGTCAGAGGAAGGAGGTGGAGTCACAGCAGCAGACTGAGGGTGTGGAGTCACAGCAGCGGCAGTGGGGGGAATTTTAGGAGTGGAAGTTTGAGGTCCTTGTCCACCAGAGGGAGACACTGCTCCAATGTCCTCAACTGGACTCTTCTGAACACACGAAAAAAGGATTTTTGAAAACTGTTCACACTGGAACTCATCCTTGCAAAAAGAAACTGAGGCTTTTATTATGAAAATCAACATATTATTTTATTACATTAACCCATTATTTTAGTGTTAAAGCAACTAAACCTGGACCAAAGAAAAGCAGGCCCTATTTTGAAACTTTGGAGTTGTGTTGTAGTGTGAACAAAAAACACAGACTTTTTTCAGTTAATTACATGTTTGAAAATGTGAGTAAACAGGAGATGAGTCAGTTTGTTAAACTGAGTTTGAAATGTGTAGAGCTTTTGAGACAGCAGACTGCAAATTGAACTGTTTTCTGTGTTACTCTAACACAAAACTCATCCACATTAACTGACTGCTTTTGTCCTGGTAACATCACCCACCGTCTTTCTCCCCTCTGAACTCCTCTTCTCTGAACTCCTCTTCTCTGCACGCCTCCTCTTCCCTTTTTCTTCCTGTGGTCCAGTCTGACAGAATGGGGTTAAAAACAACAGATTAGAGTCAGACTGAGGTCTTTTCCTGACACATACACGTACTGTATGACGTCACTTCCTGTGTGCAGATGATGACATCACAACATTACTTGAACTCACCCCGAGTGCAGGGAAGCTGTGCTCATCTCTCAGCTGCATCTCCACCAGTGCTGCATTCCTCTGCTCCTCCTCTTTGGCCTGACGCACCTCCTTTGTCACACCGAACAGCGTCGCCTCCACCAGGCTGACAGATTGACTGTAGTAGGAAATAGTTCTGCCTGTTAGCAAGAAAAAAATGCTGTTTACTGCCACGAGTTTGGGAATGAAGGCATTCTAACCAACCCAATCCTGCGGGGTCGAGCTGGAGCTCCTTCAGCCACCTTTGCTGTGACTGGTGGGGGCCAGGAGTGCTGCTTCTGCACATGTCCACCAAGGGGCGACATTGAGGGCTGAGGTTTGACAGAAGCCGAGGACAAGGAGAGTGATTTTCCTTGACTTCTGCCTTTACGGTGCTCTTCACCATCTGAGACACGGAACAGAAAGGAATTCATTAGATGAATTAATTACAATGAATTAAATTACCAAATTTCATTTTTAATCTTGTGCTGTCATTATTAAATTAGCTTTAATTTTTTAAGACTTTCCTGAAGTTGTTTTATTTGTACATCACCTCCATGTCCGTTGCTGTTCCTCTTGTCTTTGACCACAGTGCTCCAACTGCCCTCCTCACTGGGAGGACGGAGACTCCACAAGGGGACTGTTCTAAACATACACAAAGAAATCACTTTGTGTATTAGTGATTGTATCTTTAGAAGATGGGTCAGTTTTTTAACTTAAACAAAATTCTGAACAAATGTAAATTTTTGCTCACAGACCAAAGTTGATAGAGAAAATCAACGATTACAGATGTTCAGATTTGTTATTTCCTGACTTTTCTGTTACAAACCATTTCTTAAGTTTTATCTTAGTGACACAAACTGACCACAGGAGGCAGCAGTGGACCAACAGCTCCTGCGGTCAGTTTCAGCTCTTTCAGCTAAAATCACTTTTTTCTCCATGGAGTTTCAAATGGGAAAGTAAGTTAAAATAGATTGATAGATTCATAGACACGCACTTTCTGCCCAAATCTTCGATATGAACCACCACCAAGTTGTTGTTGTTTGAAGGCACTTCTTTAACTGTAGCATTGTAGCTCCGTCCGTTTCCATCTAATCGAACCTAAAGTGAACAAAAACATAATAACATAAACGGATGACAAATCCTAATTAAAAAATAAAAATAAAAAATACATACCTGACATTGGTCTCCAACACTGTACTGCATCCCAGCAGCGATGCTGTAGTCCAGCTTCTGTTGGGCTAAAACCAATGGCAAAAAATAAAACTAAAATTTTGAAATAATTCCTTGTTGTGCTGATTTAAAGTCACAGGGAAGTAGAGGCTGCAGGTCCACTGCTGCATCAGTTTAAGAACTTACCACAGGAGGCAGCAGTCTAACAGTGTCCATGTTAGTTAACAATCATTCATTTTCTCTTTGGACTTTGGTTCGTTATTAATCAAGTTTGTGAGTCACCTCTCTTTGTCTTGTGCCAAACGTCATACTCGATGTTTCTGAACAAAGTCGGGTTCAGTGAACGTCTCACCCTCTCTGACAGGTGCTGGCCACGCCCACGTCCACGACCCTGATTAACAGTAACCAAAAAAAATACTTTAGATTTGTGAACCAGACTTCAACGTCAGCTGACAACATTTACTGAACGCTCCTTTTAGAAACAGAGGTTTGAATATTTAATAATATATTTTATATTTTAAGTGGGTACTTTTCTTAAAATAGTAATGGTCAAATTTGGTAAAACGTTCCTTTTAAGATAAAGTACATATATGAAATATGAATTCATTGGTGTGTGTTTTTACCCTGTGGCTGTGTCTTGTAGAAGTGTTTTTATCATTGTCAACCCTGTAAAAAACAAAACAAATTCTTGGGAGGTACAATTATTTACCATGTACATGTAAACATAAGAAACATGCAAAACTCGGTAAATACACAAATATGTAAGAATAGACTTCTGAAGATTACACACCTGAACAGTTCAATTTTGTTGTATCCCCGTGTTACAATGACAATAAAGACTTTAATATATAATATAAAAATATTTAAAAAAAAACATAAAATCAATAAGACGAAATGGCGCCCTCTAGGAACGAGGAGGGGACATGCTTTAAGTTATTGATATTTAAGTGTCAGAAAAATGTTTACTCTTCATAGTGATTTTTAAATCACATCGTCTAAGTCATCAGCATCTGTTAAAGAACAAACATTTTTTTCCAATTTCTCCAATAAAATTTACAAACATTTTAAATGAAGCTCAGTCTTACAACAACAAAAACAGAAAAGACAAAGCGTGTTGAAAGTGTTCTGACCAGAGTGGCTCGTCCACCTCCACGTCCGACTCGTCGCTGCTCACACAGACCGCCAGCCTGTCGTCATTCAGCGGGTCAGAAAGTCGCGCCGTCCTCTGACTCTGACCCAGGTCCCTGAGCTCCATATTGAACACACCATTGTACAGCAGCTCGTACACAATAGCTGATAGGAAAAAGAAGAGGAAGCATACAAAGATATAGTCAAATCCTCAAACTTCAAAACTCAACTGAACTTTATTGAAACTGTGTCATTTCTACAGAACAGGTTTGAACAAAGAAATAAAATGACTGATGGGTGCAGTTCTACCACTGCAGCACAAGTAAAAAAAAAACTACATTTTCTTACATGCCTTGCTGTGCCCGTTAGGTCTGTGACCCCTGTAGGGGATTGCCTCCTACTTTAAGAACCAAAGATTTAAGGCAACATTTACAAATAAAAGATTTTTCAAGGCTTTTGCAGCACCGGAAAACCTTATATCTGCACTGATAGGAGTGTGTAGTTGTGTGTCAGTGTGTAGTGTATTTGTGTGTTTTGGATGTGTGTAGTAGTGTACTTGTGTGTAGTAGTGCATTGTAGTTCTGTGTAGTTGTGCGTAGTAATGCAGTGTAGTAGTGTAGTAGACCATCTGACACTCACACTGACAGACGGCTGAGTTCTTTATGTGACTGGTAGAATAAACAGAGTCGTAGTGATTTCTATTCAGGAAACACAGCTGAACCTGTGTGAACACAACAGAGGAAAAACATACACGCAGGAAGTTAATAAACAATGCAGTTAGAAGATGAACTTAGCACAACAATTATCTTCATAATAAAACTATTAAAACAAGAGCAATAAAATAATAATATAATTCAGTGATACAATATATTTCTTGTTATTTTCCTCACTTTGTCTTTGAACTTTTCACCTGTGATGTTCACAGGAGGTTTTCCAGGCTCCTGGAAAATCAAGAAGTCCCTCCTACACAGACAAAAGAAGGAAAATTTAATTTAAACATTTTACGTTAACACAGGACTTAATGAGACTGAAAAAAACTAATGTAAATAAAAATATCTTTATTTTCTATTTAATCTATCATGGTGGGCAAAGAAAGTGTGTGTTGTTGAAGTCTGCACTTTGACCAGGCAAAAGGTGTGCCAGAATGACTGGGACTGACCTGTAGAGGGAAGCAAGAGCATTGATCTCTACTTCTCCAACCCACTGCTGCACAGACACAAACACAGACAGGTTTTAGTTTATACGTCATCTTTTATGGACAGACATAATTAACCAGACATCCCCAAACGTGTTGTTTTTTTGCTGTGTGTTTTCGTACTTGAGGATCCTGGAGTTGACACAGATACTCCTCAAAGTCTCCTTCGATGAACTACATAACAAGACACCAGCACCGTGGTTACATTATGATCAACTGTCGTTGTTGATGATAATAACGACAACATGTACAGTGACACATGATAATGGTAACAATGATGACAACAATGCTACAATGATTTAAATGTGGAGTAATGTTACAATCATTATTACAACAACGATCATGTAAATGACGATGACAACAACAGCAATGATCTGAGATTGTCAGTGTCAAACGTTACCGCCTCGTAGCTGCTCCTGTTCTTCTTCAGATAATCCACACACTGAGCTCGCACCAGTGTGTGGAGACTCTGACTGTGGAGAACCTGCAGGTAAACAAACAAACAAACAAACAGACAGACAAGGATTGGTTGTTGGCGATGAAAGTATTTTGAATCAAAAATCTGAATTATCTGATTAAATGTTATTAATCTGACCTTAATCATAGAATTACAATAACAAATCTCTACCAGCACTGACTGAGAACCATGAGTCAATCTCAGTATCCTGGCTAAAATCATAGAAGTCCAATGTCAGCGTCAACATTTAACACAGCATCAATTAATAATACGATGAAAAATTACTTCTCTATAAATTCTAATGTTTTTTATGTTATAGTTTTATAGTTTTGTTATAAAACTAAAATAATAAAATAATTATGTAATGGAGTTTCTTCTCCATTCTAAATTATAGTAAAACTAAAATAATAAAATAATTATGTTATTTATTATTATGTACTTATGATCATTTTTAAGACTTAAAAAAAAAATTCAACCTGTTTCGATTTTATCCGGCTCATATTTGACACATCAGTCCGTACCAACATGAAGAACTGGGCCAGAACTTCAGTCTTCTCCATAACCCAGGTACTGTTTAGTCAGCAAAACCGATGACAGCTTTGGCTTATTTACACTTTTAAATCTTTACCTGCTCGGCTACAGCCCGGAACAGACAGGACCCGTCTTTGGCGATTTTCTTCCGATGAAAACCGATGGACCTCAGGTAGTCGTCCATGCTTTTCTCGGCTCTTCAGTGTTCGCATGCCCGCCGCTGTCCATGTTAGCAGCAGGAGCTAACCTCCTCAAAGTGCGTGTTTAATAGAAAGCGGTCCAAAGTCGACGGGTAGACGTCTACCACGTCCACTGTGGCCGGTGAAAATATTTAAATAACTTCATCTAAGACTCGGGAGTAGTGAAGAAGAAATTGTGGAAAGTCTAGTTTCGTTTCCTGGGAGGTTTGCTGCTTGAGCCTGAAGCCACTCCTAATTGTCATGAAGTGAAAGTACAACTTTAGCAGTAAGCTAACATGGACAGTCACGCCCCCCTTCTTTTGACGGTGTCAAGGTAGATGTAGCCACAGTCTAAAAGTAGATCCGGGTAACCTTTCACAGTAAAAGGCAAAATGACGTAAAATGCTTCCGATAAAAATAAAAACAGTTGCCATCACGTTACCGAGATACAGTGGCCAAGTTACGTGACATACAAGTTACATGACATACAAGTTACATGACATACAAGTCGATACTTATGACAGGGAGTTTTACACAAACGTCAGGTTAAAAACTACTTTTCAGGCAACCAATTTTGAGTAAAACCAATTTAGCAAGAGAAAAACGGATAAAATATTTTAGAATGATTATATTCTTATATTATACTTTGCTGTGTGTCATCTCTATGCAGCAACATGTCAAGTTAATGGACATGTGTATATGTAGTGTATATGTCTTTAGTTCACATGATTCAAATGGTCAGTTCAATTGTACTTTGCATTTTCTAATTCCTGTTTGTTTTATTATTGTATTGCATTTTACTGTAAAAGTACACTTTGTTGTTCATGTTATTTTAGTAATCAGCTTTATATTTTATTTATATCTTATTATTTTATTTCATAACTGTTGCTGTGCCATGAGAATTCCCTCAATGTACAGTAATAATGCCATTTGAATTTTTTTTTATGTTTATGTTACACGTATTTAATACTGGAGGATGTTTTAAAATCGATGTCTACAAGAAAAGGAACTTCAAATATGTTTCATTCAAAATAATTTAAGCAACACAGCTGACCACAGGGGGCAGCAGTGGGGCAGCACTCCCTGTCTTTCTGTTCTCTTACGGTAGTAGTAGTCTGTAGTACAGACTTAGGCGACTGCAGATTTTGTGCCTATTGTGAAGTCTTGTTCCCTTGCATCCTTCCCTCCTCTACTCTCTGTTTTTCTTTCACCTTTTCTCTTCTAACGCCATGAAATCTAATAATAACACGAGAGACAGTTTTCTCTCCCCTCTACGGCCCCCGCGCTGCTCTCTGATTTGACGAGGCCTGGCCGGCTCCAGGCCAATCAGCAGCCCCCCCCTCACCCCCCGCCGGCCACCACGGGGACCCACAACCAGCCACGTATACCT